CAAACCATGCACAGGTGCAGTAGGTCAAAATGCTCTCTATAGTACAGCGGTAGAAGGTCGCCAGCAGTTTTTCATTCAGTTGTTGTTTCCTGAGAAGTCTCAGGTAGTATAATCTCTGCTGGGCCCTCTTAACCAAGGCTGCAATATGAGCACCCCAGGTCTAATACTAAGAATGTTAGTATTAATACCCCAGTACAGCAAATGTCTGAAAGTCTGCTAACTGTAGGGGAGGCAACATTTAAACTAGGAATCTTTATGTTCACACTGCACTTTGTCAACCAGTGCAGCTTTTTGGACTAAGCTTCATGTTAAGACCTGCTTTGCTTAACCAGTTTACTCAACAAGCTACAATTAACTAGGTTTACACAATACATTAAGCCATGAGCCATAGTGTTTTTTTAACACCTACATTCATACAACGTGCCACCAAAACCAAATAACTGGTTTAGCATGATGTGTGAACTTCATCTCTGTTGACAAGTACTAGAATATTAGTTCTACGTTTTACTGCATATAGGTTGGGATTCCACACCAACTAAGTATGAGATGTCAATTTGGCTTTCTGAGAATCTCAACACTCAAAAGCAAAATATAGCAACAAAGTTATAGCAAATATATACTCAGATGTGCATGCAGAATCACTGCTGAAGTCTCAGGAGCCAGGGTGTTTGAATCAGTTTTCCAGGAGATGGAAGTGGGGTTTCCCTCCCACAGGAATGAGAAACCAAGACACTGTGCAACTTCATGCAAATATTATAAAGTAGGTAAAGACAATCCCTCTTTTATTTGTGCAGCATGTGGATTGCTTACATGCAGAACCATAATGGTGCATACACACAGCTCTGGGTGCAACTACATAGCCATTTTTCCAGTCTGACTTTTCTTACTATGTGGTCCATTAGTACACCTGGATGCCTTAGAGATAATTAGTTCTACTTACTTGGCTATTACTGGTATAGAAACTGCCTCAGTGATGGCTTTGATCACATCGCACTGGACAGGGTGCTGGGGCCTCTCTTCTTTCTTCCTTCAAAAGGGGAAGATCAGTGATTAGCAGCAGAGAATGTTCTACCAGCAGATCCAATTCTAGCCAGATAGACTTTTATGGTACAGAAGGACTAATGAGAATTTCTCTTTTCAGATGGAGGATGCATTTACCTTCCATGAACTGCAATTGCAGCAACTCCAGCCTGCTCTATCCTCTTCACTAATCTTATAGTTTCTTCTTTCTGAAAATGGGGGGGGAAAAAATCAACGCTCACCCAAGTTTGCTACTTAACTTTCCTGAAGCTAAACGAAGACTGGGTTCAACACAACAAGTACGCACAATCTTTTTTGAGGCAAAAGGCTGCGCTTGGCTTTTGGGTGGTGGCCAGATGGTGTCCTCCATTGGTTGGGCTTGCTCAACCCACTACAATGTGTGTCAGACTCTTGGCAGCTGCATAAAACCCAGAGTGATTCTTCTTTCAAGTATAAGTCTTTAGTGAGATTTATTGAGATGGATGGAAAGGGGTTACAAGAATTACAGCAAATAAACTCTTTCCAATTTTGAACCAGTATGCCCCTGTGTTGTTAGAAATAAAATCAGAAAGCCCCCACTCTAATAGCCTTCCTGGTGAGGAAGCAGGCAACAGAATCTTGTAACTGTTTCTTTAATAGCCTCCTGAAACTTTATAGGGGTGAGAACCCACCATTACAATGTGGGTGGTTAGTTTGAGTTCAGGGTGCCTCGGGAACCCAGGCAATTGGATTTTTTTCAGCAAATTCTGTTTTAACAAATTGAGTAACACAGTGTGATGTGTTCAGTATACAAATGCTCTCCAAAGGCATGTAATTTAATGCATGGACTTTACATAGGTTAATCTCAGTACCCCCTAAACTCCAATAGAGGTTCTGCACCAATTGAAACCACATCTGATCTGGGCTCTTGTTACCAGAGAGTTTTAAAAGCGCAATCCTAGGCATGTTTACCTAGAAATGTTAAGACATACTAAGTTTAATGGGTCTTATTCCCAGATAAGGGCATATAAGTAGTGGTGAACAATTTTTTATCTCTCAGTGGCCACATCCTCATAGATGCTGGGGCTTTATCTTATGCTAATATTTGAAAGGTCCAGAGCCAAATGTAGGTGTGGTTAACATTATCTCCCTTCATTTTCACTCAATGCAACTGCTGCTAACAAAATGTTTACTGAATTTTTGCATCAAAACATTGGACAGTTTTTTTCCCCCAACATGCATTATTTGAAACGTTATAATATGTTCTTACCGATGGCAAAATTCGGATTTTGCAGGTTACTGGCCTAGACACGCCATTGACGAGAGTGGTCAGAATCTAAAGAACAGGAGACAACAGCACCCTTTAAGGACAAGGGATACAGAGTGATTGCTTTGAAAACCTAGGCCAATACTGCAAAAGCCTCTTTGCTCATTCCAAAAAGTCACGTCTCCTCCTCAAGTCCTCAACCAAACGGTGAACAGGCCAAATGACCCTAACGATTTCTTTTACACTTTTCTTGTGAACAAGGTCCGCAGCTGTGCTTGCAAACTGCCATCAACGTACACTTCTGATCACAGCCTGATCCTCCAGGCAAGCACTGAACTAGGAATATGGGAAGCTTGAATATGTTCCCGAACTCTGTTAAGAGTTACTGCCAAGCAAACAATACATCACTCTGCAAAGGAAAATGCAAGGCTAACAGTTTTCTAGGGATGCATCATTCTTCAGATGCATCAAGAATTACTCTGAGAAAGAAACTTATACATGCTGGGGGGGGGGGGGGGGGGGGAGGGGGGAGAAGGGTAGTGGAGAAAGGAGAAAAAAGAGACAGAGAGTGACTACAGAAGTGACATAACAAAAAGCAAGCAAAAAAAAAAATCAGTTAGTTGTGACACTTGTACATTTTTGATACAACTGCACTCAACATTCTCATGTCTTGCTGCCTTTCACAGCCCCCTTCGATTTTTCAAAGCTCCAGCTGCTTGTGTTTTTATAAATAACAACAGAAAATGATCAGCAGGGCACTGAGCATACTTACAGATTCTATTCTGTCAGGATCAGACAAGAGCGCTGCTCCCATTCCTCCCTGGGGAAATGCACACAAAAAGGACCATCACTCATTATCTTAGCAGCCCAGAATGGCTCTACCAAGAAGAACATCCAGCAACGTAACCACAGAATTTCAAAGCTGTGCAGGGAAACCAGCTACTTCTGCCAAACAAGGAGTACCACTGGGGTGAGGTTAACAAGAGAGTCATGCAGGCTGGGGAATTATGGAACTGAAATCCACCTCATTTGGAAGGCACCAAGTTGGAAAAGAGTCCTGCAGCTGAAAGGATTCAGCTTGCAGGGCCAAGAGCCAGAGGCTTGTTGCCATCTGAAGCAAACCGTACAGAGCTAGATGGGCCAAACACAAGGTTCCATAGCTGGGATCAGACATCATGCCAAGCCACAGTTTGCTTTAATCATGATTTGTTGAAATAAACCACAGTGGCCAGGTTTGCACGTAATACTAAATTGTACTGTCTAGTTTACAAACCACAACATCTAGTAGGCACATTGTACTAAGCCAAAATCAGGCAATCCTATTAGGATTTTGCACGAAGTGTGAATCCAGGCTACCAGCTGACTCCAACTGCTTCTTCACAGGAGTCAATACAAACGGCCCAAGATTGTCTTGTTTCAAAATATTCTTGCTGTATTTTATATTAGTCTATTAATTATATTTTGCTCTGTCTTGTGGAAAGTTCAGAACAACCCATGTGACCCTCCCAATGCTTTCCTATTTAGATCCCAATCATGCCACCAGATCATGCATTAACCGAGAATACTCTGAAATGAATGGAAGTAGTAGAAGGGATTTTTTGTATCTACTCAATAATTCAGATAGAAGTGAATCAGGAACTCAAAAGGCTAGCACACATATTTTCCTGGAGCTAGAGACTCACATCTTTAGTATGCAAAAAAGGGAAGCTTAGTTTGAACACAACTGATCAGAAGTGGTCCACACTGCTAAATCAGCCAAACCTAACAGGATGGCTTCAGTCACTATTTGTCGACTGTTAGGTTCAAGCAGGGAATACTAATGTCTCTTTCCCAATATGACAGAACTGAGACACAAAAACTCTGATTATGATTCTGGCTTGAGAGAAAAACAGGCAAGCAAGCTCATTCACATGTCATTCTGAAAAACAACTTAATTTGTTTTCCTGTTCCTGGGCCCAAGGTTTCTGTTAATACACTTAGCTGCTATGACACAACATATAATTACTTCAGTTAAGTGCAATTCTATTTGCAGCCTGCAAATACCTGGGAGTCATTTCAAAAACTTGAAAGAAAAAGGATGTTTCATACTTTTATAGTCAAGATGAGCAAGAAAGATGGCAATAATTCAAATAATGCTCCAAGTTATGCAGATGTTCGCCAAATCAAAGGTACTGCATGGCATCTAGTGATCAACAGGTGATAAACACGATTCATAAAGAAAAAAAAATTGCAGCTGGGCAAGATCCATCTTACCTTTGTGGAATATTCTTTGGGGCACCCCATGTTAACATCAATGCCAGCGACATCATTCTCTCTGAAACGACAAAGGCAAAAAGGCAATCACAAATGCATAAGGGGGGGGTTAACATGTATTTAAACACACACACATTATTAAGCAATTCATTTTTCAGAGTAACTTACAAGTGGCTGAAAGGGTGAGATGCAAAGCAATTGTTTGTTCTATCATCTTTGTGCAGAAAACCAAGAGAACCCTTCCATTTATTCCTGAAGCATTTCCTTCAGTTTGTTTATTTATTTGTTTGTTTCAATTTATAAGTTCATTGTCAGGAAGAGCAAAATTTCTCTCTGTCCAGACCAGATACAGCTCACGTACTAGCAGTTTCCAAGGATCCTGCTACTGACCTTACAGGATTCACAGCATGCCATGTATGAGTTGCACCTTCACCACAGAGAATACAACTCTGCTTTAAATTACCATAAGGTATCTTTCACTGCACTTTTTGGGGTTCTGTGCATTTGTTACAAAACTTCAGGAACATCACTTCCAGACTTACTATAAGATTTAATTTGCTTCTATTGAAGAATGAGAAACAAGCAGAGTTTCTAAACCGTTCTGCTAATCAATTCAAGGAATACTTTGCATAAATAAGCAACAGCTTTAAGCTATCATCAACCCTAGCCAGCTACAAATTCCTTGGGTGAATTTGTGTGTGTCGATCATTGGTTAGATCAATGCTATCCTTTTCTCCTCCGGGAACTCAAGGCAGATAAAATAAATACTCCACCTTTCCACTTTAGCCACACAGCAGTCTTATGAGGTTGGTTAGGATAAAAGAGCATATGGCCCCAAAGTCATCCCATGGCTGAGTGGGGATTTTAACCTGGGTCTCTCCAATCCTAATCCAACACTCCAATCCAGTGTTTCTCAACCTTGGCAACTTTAAGATGAGTGGACTTCAACTCCCAGAATTCCCTAGCCAGCCATGCTGGCTGGGGAATTCTGGGAGTTGAAGTCCACTCATCTTAAAGTTGCCAAGGTTGAGAAACACTGGATTAAGGGATTCCCTAGCCAGCCATGCTGGCTGGGGAATTCTGGGAGTTGAAGTCCACTCATCTTAAAGTTGCCAAGGTTGAGAAACACTGGATTAAGGGATTCCCTAGCCAGCCATGCTGGCTGGGGAATTCTGGGAGTTGAAGGCCACACATCTTAAAGTTGCTAAGGTTGAGAAACACTACTCTAACCGCTATGCCAAACTAATGCTGTCAACTTTTATTCCTGAGATGTGCAAAATGTAAAAGAGAATAAACTTTAGAAAAATGGAAATTTGGAGTGGATCTGCACCCCAGGCTGATCTAACTGGTAAAGGTTAATGCCAAATAAAGTCAAGTCTATACCTGATCCCATTTGTTTTCTCTTTCTTCTTTTATTCTTTGTTCCTTGTCATTTTTGTGTCCTTATGTTTTGGAGGGAGGGGCTGATGTGGCATTGTTAGCATTGCTATGATTGCTTTGACTGGTTTCAACCTCACTGAGGATGTTTTACGTTTTTTTTATATAGCCTATAAGCGGCTGAGAATTGTTTGATTGCAGCAGGAAAGAAGTACAATAAATAAGTAAAATGCATGTAAAGATATTCTGACAGATACATACACAAGTTTGGCTACTGCCAAGGCTCTCTCGGCATCGGCTGTGCCCTGAACAACAGTGAGGAGAAAAACATACAGGCATTATTTTTCTAGAAAGATAATTACAGCTCATTCTTCGGCTCAAGAGCTCCCAGAGCTGCTCACATATACAGTGGTACCTTGGGTTACGAACGCCTCTACTAACGAACATTTCGGGTTACAACCAGCTTCGGCAGGAAAAAATTACCTCGGGTTACGAACTCGCCTCGACTTACGAACCGGATCCGCGGCCGTTTTCCCTGCTGTCACGCGGTCGCGGCTTCCTGTGGGCGAGGTCGCGGTAGCAAGGAGACGTTCGGTGAGGCTTGTGGTGTGTTTTGTGGTGTTTTGCAAAGGTTTTTGGTGTGCTTACGACCAACTCGGGATACGTCCAGAGTCACGGAACAGATTAAGTTCGTATCCCGAGGCACCACTGTACATTAAATCAGTATAGGTAGTCCTCACTTAACGACCCTAATTGGGATGGGAAACTGTGTTAAGTGAAGCAGTCGCTAAGTGGGAAATCATGTGACCGTGACTGTGCTTTCTGGCTGGAAAGAGACAAGACTACTTAGTTTCACAACTTCGGCTTTTGTTTGCCTCCTAACCACTCCCCCCCAGCCCCACTTTGGAATGCTCAAGTGCCTGCTTGCTGTCTTGCACACATCAAAAGCAATGTGATCACACCACAGCCCAGGACTGGGAGCAGCACACTATGCAAAGAGCTTACAGTACTCCCCTGAAATCTCTTCCTTTCCAATCTCTCTGCTCTGTGTGGGGCGGAAGGAGGGAGGTCAGGCAAAGGAGAGATTGCCTACAGAAATCGCTTGCTTTTTTTCTCCCCCCACTCTGCCCCCTGCAGAGCAGAGAGACTGGAGAGGAAGAGATTTCAAAAGAGTAAGCTGTTTACATAGTGTGCCTTGGCTCCCAGCCCCAGGCTGCTGGCGCAATCACATTGCTTTCGATGTGTAGAAGAGCAAACAGTTTATTTTCTTGCAATCCCTTTCTCTCCAATCAACCTGCTCTGCAAGGGGGGGGGGGGAGAAGGAAAAAAAAA